CGAGGCGACCTCGGCGGCGGCGGCCGGGCTGTCGGCCACACCTGCAGGCCGGCCCTGAGCGCCTGGCCCCGGCGGCCCGAAGCGCGCCGCGAACACCTCGTCGCCCTCATGGCCTATGAGCGAGTCCACGTAGTAGTTGCTGAGGGTGCCACTGGAGGACATTTTGAGGCGCTGCGCGCTCCCACCCAAGGTTACACTGCCCGCCGCCGAGCCGCTCCCCGCCGGCGCCGGAGACGCCGACTAGTTCGCAGGCTGCAGCTTCCACCATTGGTCGCGCGGCCCACGTGATCATATTTACCAATACCGGGAGTAAATCAGTCCGCTAAACTGGGGGCTGCTGTGATTTAAAAAAAAAATTATCATCAACATAAGCGCCGCAATTAGAGCCCGAAGGCCCAGGTCTACGCGCCTGGCTCGGCCTGGCCCGGCCCGGCCCGACTGGTGACGGTTGGGACCGCGGGCCCGACCGCGGCCGGAGGAGGCGCTGGGGACTATTTGTTCGCCTTCTCTGGCAGCCCTTAGTCCTGCAAGTCGGGACCCGACGCTGGCTCCCCAGTTCCTGGACTCTGAGCTGCGGACCGTGCGGAACTGAGCGCTGGTGGAACCGAGCGCTCGGCCAGAGCCCGAAGCAGCTGAGTGAAAAGTAAGAAGATGGGTTGAAAATCTGCAGAGAACACTGAGATTGCCCATCTCCTGAGTTGTCGGAAAGGTCGTGATGCGTTCTTACAGAACAGAAAAAAAACATCATGACTTTTCTAACAACCCAATATTTGTCTGCCTGTAATGTGGTACAAAATGGCAAGTATACTCCAAAGAGTAGTTGAGCCAAAAAGCCTCTGGACTTGTGAATCCTAAGCACAGCTAAAGGCAGGTGCAAGAGTTGTAATGAAAATAAGGTGATGGAGAGAGTCCATGGGTTGCATTTCTCCACTCAGCTCTCGGAATGCTAGAGCCAGTCTTCCATCAGCCCAATACATCCCTTACCAAAATCTTCCAAGGGCCGGCGGGCAGGCGAGTCAGCACCGCGCGGACAGCGTGGCCAGGTGCCTGGTTTTCTCCCGTACTGCTGGAAAGATCCTGCAAGAGAACACGCCACAGGGCAGAACCCAAATGCTGGCGCCGGCCTGCTCCCACCCGTCGCCCAGGGCCTGCCTCGATGAAGCCAGAGGGAACCGTGTCTTCCCCGGCAGGGCCGCTTCTCCCGGTTCACCCTCTGAGGCCTTCAAGTGTGTCCTGGAGATGATTAAAATATTCGGCCTACTGGCCAGGTTCTTGGGCTACTGTCTTCCAATTTTTTCCCTCTCTAGAGATAAGGCTGGGCAGCCTTGAATCTGAGAGAAATGTCCATTGTCACTCCCAAATCCATGGTACAAAGCCTTGGAAGCCCGGCTGGGAGCCGAGACAAAAGCGGCCAGGGCGCCGGCGACTGAGGACATATTCCTCATTCTATTGCTACAAGTTGCCCAGCGCACCTTGGAGGGCTCCCAGCCCACCTCCAGCTCTGGGAAGAAAAGGGGTAAATGGCCACTTCTAGCCTGATTGATTGCCTTTGCCAATGGCTTTCAGATTTTGTTCCAGAGGGGCTGTCTTTGCTTGTAGCACAAGTTCTCCTCGAGCATGATCCCCATCAAAAGCTAATGGCACTCCCCACATGCCCGGAGGAAACGGGGAAGTTAAAATTACCTTCTTCTGCCCAAACCACTATAAGTCTGGGGCAGATCCTTTCCAGTGTTCCTACTCTAGCATTGATGCAGAGCCCTCTTCCCTCCCCATGAAATGGCATCCCTAAAGGATTCCGTCTTGGACCTTAGGAATGTTCACACTTTTGGGGAGGAAGTTTAAAAACTCTGAATAAATATTGAGTATCTCAAAGAGTTCCCTGAGTGAGGGCACTGAGGCTTAGAGGACCTAACTGGATTGTTCTTTGAAAAAATAGAGGGGAATGAAAAGGACATGTTTTGTGAAACAGACATGTTTTGCTTCAAGCTGTGGGAGACTAAAACCCCAGGCAGAACCTGGGGCAACAAATTCTGTCTGTCCCCCAACCCCAAGGTCTCTCCTCCCTAAGCCTCTGGTGGGAATCCTGCAGGAGTTTCCAAAGCAGGATGGAACAGTGGACTTCGTGGGACGTCATGTTCATTTGCAAATTATCTTTCAATCACCCTTTCTGCATTTTCTTGCCTCTGAGATACAGGGGCTTCAAGCAGCATTTTGTAATTAAATAGAGGGAGGATTGACCAGGGAGGATCTTTTCATGTCTTCCTTTAAAAAAATTTCATGTGGGCCACTAAAAGGTAATGACTGAGCATAAAATCCTTCCACAAGGAATCCAGGCAAAGTGGGATGGGAAAACTCACCCATCCTTGGCTTCGCTGGGGCCTGGCTGTCTTGTGCTTGGGATGGGTGGGGATGAGGGAAAGGGGGGCAGAATTAGATCCGATGCAATGCTAAGCTGCTGCTTGTTCTTGCTCCTGTAATGGAGGCCCGGCAGCTTCCAGGTGGGCAAGACTAGTTTCACCCTAGCCCCTGATGATGGCTCGCCAGCCAGAAGTCGCCAAGATCCCACTGAAAGCATTAAAAATAGAACAACCAAAACCAAAGAGAAGAAAACACATAAATGGGAAGTGGTGGGGGTAAAAAAGCAATTTAATGCACAAGCTTACTTACCAGGCTCTGGCTACAAGGAAGCTGACACCCATTGAGAGTGCGATTATATTACTACCATTGGGACTTGGGAGAGGAGAGAGGACTCCTTTCTTTCCCAATTATGAAAACTGCACACCCAGACTGGATTGTCATTCCTCTCCTCCTACTACTGCCAAATTCCAGCGCCCTAGGCCTCCTTTGGGTTTTCCCTCCCATCTTCCTTCCCTTGCTCTCTATCACTCCCCCACCCAAATGCCTCAAATAGGCAATTTAAAGAAAGAGAACCTCACCAAAGGCTTGCATTTTCACCATAACATTTTCATTTCAGAAAGCAGAGGGAGCGAACTCGTTTCCAGAGTTTATTGCATTATACATGCGACCAGAACATGCACAGAAAGGACAGGTTGCTGTTGTACTTCTACCAAACCACAGATGCACCACAAGGGAAAGGCTACAAGGCATAAGTCGTCAATATTCCATCTCACCAAGGACAATTGCTAAGTTCATTTGTGAAAAGATACATTAAATGTGCTTTTTTAGTCCCCCTCCCCCCAAAGCTTGTGGGTTTTCGTAATCTTTTTTAAATATATATATATATGTAATTTTAAAAGTACAGGATGTATTCAAAATGCCATGAGTTCATGGACTAACCACACACACACAGACCTTTTGTGTTAGGAAAAACATGAAAAAGTCACATTTGCTGGCTGAATGGATGAATGGACAAATGGATGCTCTACAGTTCCAATAAGTTAAGACCCAAATGAAAATGCACAGTAGTAGTTACCCTGCATTACGATGAAAAAATAATAAATTACACGTGCTAAGTTTTTTTTTTAATATATATACTCATAGGGATTACAGATCACTTGCAGCACGAACAGAATGACCCCAAAGTCACATTCTAGCAGGAAAACAAAACAAAACAAAACAAAAAACAAAGAGCAATGAAGGTTTTGTTTCCGCCTTCCCAGTCCTCCAGCACTGGGTCCTGGAACACGGTGCCCCCTCTCGGATCCTGGCCTCTCACCGGCCTCGGACCTAAGAAAAGGTGAGGTTGGCGGTCAGTTCTCGGATCCGGTTCTCTCGGCTCATCTTCTTGAGTTTCATTCGGCGGTTTTGAAACCAAATCTTGACCTGCCTGTCGGTGAGGTTAACGCTCTTACTGATCTCTAGGCGGCGCTCGCGGGTGAGGTACATATTGAACAAGAACTCTTTTTCTAATTCCAGCGTTTGGTGCTTAGTGTAAGGGCACCTCTTCTTTCTGCCACTCTTTGCAGTAAGCCAATTGCTGGTTGGAGTATCAGACTTGATTTCCTCTAACAAAATTAAAGGGAGAAGAAGAAAAAAAATCAAGAATTTTTTTTTTCTCTCAGTCTGTTCAAATGTACCCTTGGCCATGACCCTGCTGGCAGCCAGGCCGCTTTGGGAAATGCTGGTATTAAACATTACTCACATGAGATGGGCCCTGGAAGGGATTTTAAATTGATGCCGGATTAGAGCGTAGTACCCAAAATGACATAACAGGAGGGCATTCTTCATGAGGGTTCGTTCTTTCTCTGTATCAACTTTCTGACTTGCACAAAACATTAGTACAACAGTAAACTTTCCAGGATCTCCTCAGCAACATTCTAAATTGTCAGTTCATGACTGGGCTGGAGTAGAAGCAGCCACATCCTGGACAAACCTACCAACCCACTGCTGCCTCAGGTCCTCAAGTCTACCGCTTCTTCCCCACCTCTTCTAGGCAGGCGGGGAGCCCCACAGCCAGGTTTAAAGGTGCCTGTTCTCTTTCAAAAGATTACTGAGGAAGCAAGAACACCTTCTTCACTCCGCCTAGGCATTGTTGAATTTCCCCAGAATCTCCTGAATTCCTGTGCATTCTTGCCCCCACACAAAAGCATTCCACCCAGAAATGCAGCCCCTACTGTGGCCCACCCCTGGGCATTGAGAGAGAGGCTCAGGAGCAGGGTTCCTTCAAAAAAGGTCAGACCCCTGGCTCTTTGCCCTAGCCCAGCCTAAGACTGGCCCAGCAGAGTGGGCAATGCGGGTTCCATCCCCCCCCCTCCGCCTTTGCCCACTTCGCAGAAGATTGCAAAGCCTGCGGCACTTTCACCAGACAAAGCCAAGGTTACCTAGTCCAGCAAAGGCAGGAAACCCTATTCCCCCACCCAAGCGCCAACTGACCCAGCCAAGTGACCCAGCCATCTCCTTCTCCTCACCGCCCCCAAGCTCGCAGGATGCGGGGTGCATACACTTGAACACGAACACGGTTCCCTGGACTGCCTTACAATACTCACTGGGTGCAAAGCAAAACTAGGATTGCAAATCAGAGCAGGAGAAAGCGGGCTCTGGGCCGAGTTTAGGAGCCGCAGGTCTCCTCTGCACTCTTTTGTTGTGTTTCAGGTCTAGCTCAGGAAAAATAAACCGGGCAAGCCTTTCCTCTGCCCCGGCGCCATCAGCGTGGGGCCAGGACTGGCGGGGAGGGCAAGGGACAGCAAGGAAGAAGCAGGGACCATCTTAGAGCTGGGATCAACCCCCCCTAAAAGCCAGGCGGTGCAGCACCTGCCAAGTCGGGTGCCCGCCTGGGCTCGGCACTGGGCACCCGGGGGCTCCCTCTCCGCCGGATACCGGGCTGCGCGCCTCGCTGAGGAGGCAACTCGGTTCATACCGACCTTTGCTTTCTTTCTCCTGCACTTCGGGACTGGACACGGAGACCTCAGCCAGGCAGCTCCTTTCTTCAGGAAGGCCGCCTTTGGCCTCGGGGCTCTCCACCTGGGAGACTTTGGTGGGCTCCTGGCCGCTGGCGGGCTCGTTCATCTTCTTTTCCATCTGCAGCTGGGCAGCGGAGAGCTGCGGCTTGGCCGCGCCACGAGGGTTGAGCTGGAGCATGACAGTGGAGCTGCCTTCGGGGCTGTTATTGTACTCTTGGGTTTTCCCGGTGGCGTAGGTCTGACTCAGTCTAAAATATCCAGGGACGGGAAC